TTTGAGTGTCTAAGAGATGTATTCGATCATTAAAGGTATTACAAAAAAGTATAAGCTAGATCTAGACAAATAAATAGCTCACACTAACACTCTGAATGTTAAATCTCTGAAGCACACCTCTACAAGTGGTATGTAACCCACTTTATATAGAGGTGTTTACATCTCTCTCTCTCTCTCTCTGTATATATATATATATATATATATATATATATATATATATATATATATATATATATCTCAAGTCATAAGGATATACTACCACATGCAAGTAGGTCTACATGAGTCAAACCATTAAAAATTCATATATGGATAACTTTGCACCCCCAACATATATGTTATTAAGTATACATTTAAGAATTATTCTAGATAATAAGCAATTAATTCACAAATAAACTTTCAACAAATAATTAATATTTTTAAATAAATACTTTGTGTTAAAATCATGTTCTTGAAAGTATCTATGCACTCACTTGATTTAGGTGGAAGACTCGAGGGAAATTCAGATATTTAACTGACACTACATATTCCCTTTTAAAACGAAATAAACATGAATATTACTAAGCCTTAGTATTCATTAGTATTTATAAAGATTAATTGTTATAAAGTCTTTATAAAATTTATCAATAATTCCAAAAGAACACTGACGTATAGCTGATAAGAAACAGTCATGTAAGATCTTATCGGAGGTAGGATGTGTTTGGTATATAAAGATATACTGTTTGGAAAATGAACTTAAAACAGCTCGCAGATCTAGCCTTGTCATCATTCCCTTAAGTAGATCGGTCAGTATAAGGACTGGTTTACTGATAAATCTTATTTATAAGTTCATAATAATAATTATAAGCATAAATATAAGTTATACTTAAATCACGCTAAGCATAACTAAACTTGCAGGTTGTTTGGCAAAAAAAAACAAACATTACGTGAGCAAAACTTCAAAACCGAAAGCTCTATTTCTCGGTGCTCTCTGGCGCTCAAGAGTTTTGCTACTAACACCTAAGAAGTACTAAGATCGGGTCTTGGGACCTCAGGAAAGTTTAGGAGTGTTTGGAAAGGAATTGGCACCAAAATATGCAAGAAAACATTTATATTTAGAGAAAAAAATCAGACGGCACGCTGTGTCCTCGACACGCGTCGACATCAAACCGGTTGTCGTGGGGAGGAAGGGTGGAAGGAGATGCTTCCACTTTTTGGCCATCTGGGGTGCCATGTGGTGAAATCTCGTTGACCAATTTTATTATTTTTCTAAAATTCATAACATTCGTATATGGACTCCGTTTTGAATGGTTTTTTTCTCCGCATAACTATCAATGAGTACTACAAATTTCATTTAGACTATGTCAGCCAATTTTCAATTGATTTTTTGTTTTATGGTCCGAGAAGGCTTAAACTTAAAATAACGCTGTGAAATTCATAACAACTTCATATGAGCTCCGTTTTCTACGTTTTTTATATCGTCGATCTAATATTGAAGATTACTACAACATTCATTTAGACTGTTTTAGCTAACAATCAAACACTTTATATTTCGATTTCTGTGTCGCACATTGTTATACTATGTTGCAGTCGAAAGTTTGAAAAATCATAACTTTCTCATACGAAGTCAAGTTTTGGCTTTCTTTCGATTGACTCATTCCTATTGACGAGTACCACGACTTTCGCTTAGATAAATTAGGCTAATAAGTAGGCTACGCCCAATTTGCTTTTTATGACAAATACATTGTATTGTGTCGAACGTGAAACTTAGATAAATCATAACTTTCTCATACGAAGTCAGATTTGGGCGTTTTTTATACTCACAGAATTGTCATCAAGACTACTATAACTTTTTTTAAGTTTTTTTCATCCTAAATAACCTTTTATTTTTATTCTTTAACTTATTACGTCCATGATAAATTATATATTAAGGTTTTCTACAAGTATTACATACTCTTAATATTTGTCCACATAACATGTATACGATAAATATTTATTGGATTGCAAAACCTACGTAGAACAATTACCATAATCACGGAGTTTAATTGTTCGTTAAAATGTATAATTATTATTATGCTCTAAACGTCTAGCTCTAAATTGCAGGCGTTACGAGTTGATTTTCACTAATTCAACAGAAGTTCTTCAAATCCATCATGGGAGATTAAGATCGTCATTACCACCTCCAAAACCATTGAGATCGATTGCTAGGAAAATAAGAGGAAAATGGGAGCTAGTGGGTCTTAATAAAGTATCTTATGTCATACTAACCACTAAAGTTTTTTACTTGGCAAAATAGACACCGTTTGTCAAGTCCTTAGTCAAAGTTTCATATTTAGGACTTCTGTCCCTCTTTACCAAAATAGTAACATCTTAATTCTAAGGTTAAGTCAACAAGTTATGACAAGTTTCCTCATTGTCAACTAGTCTGATTGCAGCCTAGTACACAATTAATACCAAATTGTTAGCAAATACGTTGTCTTTGGTAGTGGAAAGTATGGTTGGTCAAGATCAATATGCCTTTGTAAAAGGTAGGTAAATCTACGACGACATGTTAACGGTGAATGAATTGGTTGAGTGGGCTAAGAAAAACAAAATAGATGGTGGTTTTGAAGATTGACTTCGAGAAGGAATATGATTTTATTTAGTGAGATTACTTAAAGTGAATCATGATTTACGGGTTTTGGTGATATAAGGATGGTTTGGATCCGTGTTTGCTTATCTTCGATTACAACTTCTGTTTTGAGAAACAGAAGCTTGTACTCCAAGTTTTAGTAAGATAGGGGATTGAAACAGGGAAATCCTCTATTTCCTTTTCTTTTTTGTCATAGTTATAGAGGGTCTTGATATAGCTATTGAGGATGTGGTTGATGTTGGTCGTATTTGAGGTGTTCATATAGGTAGTGGAGAGTTGCATATATCTCATTTTTTTATGCAAAAGATTCTCTTTTATGGGAGAACGGTTGTGTGAGGATATTTATTACATTGTAAGGGTTCTCAGTTGTTTTTATTTTGCTTCTAAATATATATGTATCTCTGAAAATCTACTTTATTTAGGGTTGGTGTCCAATTTATTAAAGTGCAATAGTATTCCATTTTAGTGGGTTGTAAGCCAGAAAAGTTTCCTTTTATTTAAATCTCTATTAGCTCCCATATGTCTCAGATTCAATGTTAGCAGAATATGATACATGATATATATATATATATATATATATATATATATATATATATATATATATATATATATATATATATATATATATATATATAAGAGGCTCTCCAAATGGAAAGTCAACATTCTCGTCATTGGTGGTCATTTAATGCTTCTTTCTTTGATGCTCGATGTACCATGTACTCATTATATGTCTTTCTTTTTTTATTTCAGTACAGGTTAAAAACTATTTAGAGGTGCATAGACAAAAATTTATGAGCAGTGAAGGAGTTCTTGAAAAATTCATTATGTCAAGTAGGACCTTGTATTAGCTTCAAAGTATAATGATGGTCTTAGGATAAGAAGTTTGAATGCCTGTAATTATGCTTTGCTCTATAAATGGGTATGGATATTTGTAAAGTATGATGATGTTTCGTAGGTAAAGGTGATAAAGACTCCACATAGTGATGATGAAGGAATTTAGTTTCATAAAAGTCGAGTCTGGAGCTCCAAAGTTCAAGCTAGAACCCTGGATACTATTAAAAAATACATGAAAAAGGTATTATCTTTTTTCCAAATTATGAAAAAACATTGGAAATGAGAATAATACGATGTTTTGGAGCGATGTTTAGATTGAAAACATTCCTTTAAAGAACCGGTTGAATAGGTTTTACATATTAAGGAATAAGATATGTATATTATCTTTTATATAATTAAAATACTTCCCTATAATTACTTAGCCTTCTATAGCTGTATTTTCCATGTAAACTTTCCTAGTTTATCCCCTGTTACGTGTATTGGCTATTTAAGCCACAATATGTATGTGCATAATAGAACAACTAATTCACTCTCATATCTCTGGTTTATGTGGTATCAGAGCTATCATGCTCTCACGAGATTTGATCCTATTCGTATCCTCTCATACAAAACCCTCAACCCTCATCAATATCCACCAAAAACACCACTCACATTACCGATGCTACTCATCTAACCATCAAACTCACACCCAATAATTACACAGTATGGAGAAAACAAGTCGAATCCACTTTGATCAGTCTTGAACTTGATAACCACATTATCGGCCCCTCTAGTCAACCTTCAACAACAGTCACCGACAAGGAAGGAAAAAAGATAAAAAAAAATCTTGATTACCTTCCATGGCATCGCAGGGATCAAATGATATTCAGTGCTATACTGGGGAGCTGTTGAGACTCGATACAACCTCTCATCTCATATGCATCTACAGCTCGAGAAGCATGGACTCGGCTACACTCAAGCTTTGTCTCATCCTCAAGGTCCAGAATCATCTCCTTATAGTCCAAACTTGCCAAGAACCCTAAAGGAACTCGATCCGTCTCATAATTCCCTCCAGAAATGCGGGCCATTGCTGATGATATAGAACTTGCTCAAAGCCCTGGTGAAGAATATAGTACCATTGCTGCTGCTACCAAGGTACGAGACAACCCCCTGTCCTACTCCGAGCTCTTTGACAAACTCACATATTATGAAAGAGCCCTCAAGGATATACCCTCAACCCTTGATTCAATTCCAATCACCGCCAATTACACTTCCCATCAACATGGATCCAATAATCGCACATACAATAACTCTTTCTCCGGGAACAACACCGGACCTTTTCCGTCTCACATGTCAAAAGTAATACCCCAATCTCAATGGCCAAATAATAACTCTTATGACCATCGTACCAACAAAAAAATCACTTCTGTCAATACTGTAACATTCCAGGGCACCTTACTAAGGACTATCGCAAACTTGCTCAATTCCTAAGGGAGAACAATGTCATCACTGGTCTTACCAGATCATCAACTCCAGTTGCCAATATAGACACATTCATTATCTCTTTGAACACTTTCACATGGATGGAGTGAAGGATGTGACTACTCCCTTGAACTCCTCAGTTTCTCTCAAGTTGCACGACGGGTCCGCCAGTGTTGATCCAAATCCATATCGAAAGTTAGTGGGTTCTCTTCAATACTTGGCCTTTAAGAGACCAAACATCTCATTTGCAGTGAATAAACTATCACAGTTCATCCACGCTCCCTCAGAGATTCATTGGAAATCGTTAAAAAAAATTCTCAAATACTTAAAAGGTACTATTCATCATGGACTATTTCTCAACCGGGCTTCTTCCCTGACACTTAAAGCCTTCTTTGATTCTGACTGGGGAGTAATTGAATATGGTGGTCACTCCACCATGGCTTATGTAACAACGTAAATTTCCAACACAATTTTTTTTCATTTTTAAAACATAATTTCATTCATAATAATTATCAAAATCCAATGTAACACATGTCCTCCAAATAAAACGATCCCAAGATCTCAAATACATAAAACTCCATCAATGTGTACAGATCATGCCAGCGCCTTCCCGCGATCCTCGCTGGTACCTGAAACACATAACACATAAACGGTAAGCATAAATGCTTAGTGAGTTCCCCAAAATACCACATACGCACATACGCCACTCAAGGCTATAGCTCTACAAGACCTTCCGGTCCATGTGTCTCAGGGGACTTCCGTCCCAACCCTAGTAGACCTTCCGGCTCTACCCGTAATGACCTTCCGGTCCGCATAATCTTGACCTTCCGGTCCATACACTGTTGACCTTCCGGTCCATATCATAATGACCTTCCGGTCCGTACCATACCACTCATAACATAACATAGCACATACATATCATATAACAGCATACATCACATTCTACTCATAGCACATAAGACCTTCCGGTCACACGTAATTACCACTCTAGGTAAAGTATAGTGAGAAGACTCACCTCACATGATGTCTAGTAAACCTTCTGGTTTGATAACCTCGATCGAGCCTCCGCCTAGCACATATGGCAAACATTTCTAATTAATACTTCCTCTTGTCCTCATCTCTAATGAATGGGTAGAAGACCATTCTACCCCTTCCTGACCTCTCTTGATTCAGCATGACCAAAACCCTAAGGTCAACCGAAGTCAACCCTAGTCAATGGTCAAACTTTGACCAGACTCGTCGAGGGCACTCGTGTGACTCGGCGAGTCCATGCGTTTCCTCTGAATCCTCATAAAGCCTTACTCAACTCGTCAAGTTAACCTTTCACTCGACGGATTACCACTGGACACGAATCGGGGCAACCCGACTCGACTCGTCGAGTCCCCTTATGGACTCGGCGAGTTCATTCCATGGCAATATTCATATGACCTTCTAAGGTCAGATCTGTTTCTCTAACCTATAGATCTGACTTCCCAATGCTCAATAATCACGAAAAGGTCCAATCTTTACCCTCATGCAACACACATAAAGCTTCTTTTGGTGAAATAGCTTCTAACATGGCAACCTAGGCTCATATCTTCAAAGGAACAACATAAAGCAGAATGGTTGGGACTCTCTGGACCTCTTAAGGTCCAGATCTAGTACTTTTCCACATTGGGACCTCATATGCATCATATACTATCCAAGAAGGGGTAAAGAAAACCCTAGATTCAAGGATTCTACACAAAACAGAAGGAAGGGGCGAAATACTACCTCAGAATGGAGATCCTTGCTTGGATGTCTCAGAATAACAACCTCCTTTGGTCCTTCTAGCTGAATCCCTTCACTTCCTTTGCAAAATCACACCAAAATTACTTGATTTCATCACAAGAACTCTCCCATGGCTCCAATGGCGATTTAGGGTTTCTCACAGGGGACATGAGGCGCATCCAAGGTCATAAGTTCCTTTAAATAAGCTCCAACCCCAGAACTTAGGGTTTTCTCTACCCAGTACCTACTCGACGAGTCCATACTTGGACTCGTCGAGTCCACTCATTAATCCACGTGATCAACTTGACGTGACTCAGCGAGTTAGACCTACGACTCGTCGAGTCCCTCCTAAATCCTCAAAATTGAAACACGAACTATCATACCCGAAATTCCGGATGTTACAAATCTCCCCCACTTAATTTGATTTCGCCCTCGAAATCGCTTCTCATACCACATATATAGAAACCAAACACCCAAAAAGCACCACTGAAAGGATCTCACACCAAAACGATATCTTCCTCCATGAATACCTGAACCCGACCAGGAACTCCTGAATTCGAAACAAAACCAGCCCCTCTGCCACTAAGATATCCCTTCTGATACCAAATATAAACCCAACAATCGGTTACCGATCACCCATGCCATACGTACCCAACAATCTCGAATACACTTCCATATACGAAAAGGGTACATTACACCAGAGAATCGTCTCTTGCCTTCAGATATAAGAAAGTGATCATGCTCTCTCACAATGTCTTCTAACATCTATAATCATAAACCCCCAACTTACTCCCAAAGATCCCTACTCCACACTGGGTACTAGGTCATCTCTCAACCAGCCATCATATTCCAAGTGTCTCACTGACTTCCTTCTCACATCAACTATCTCGGCCCAGTGACACATAAGTCACGAAGTTCTCTTTACCCCAACGAATACTATACTCCCAACTGAAATCGTCTCATCCTCGACCTCAGCCGAAATAATAATATTTTGCCTCATGCACCTCATGGTATCTCCCGTACTAACGAACTGACCCCACTCGGGTCTAAGATATCAGGTGACAACAATACCCCTCAACCAATAATCCACCTCAGAATCCAGAATCTTTTCTCGCCTACCCAACGTACTACCAAAACCAAACTCAAACTCGAGAGTCTGGTCCGACCCAACGTTGGAACCACTTGTCCCAATGAAACAATCATCTCATGACTCAACCTGCAACCCGCGTGAATACCACTTTTTCCAATTCCCTCATGATGCGACAACCACCACTCAAGTCAGAAGTTAACGATTCCTGACAAATATGGGGACCCCAGTCTCTTTCCTGGTTCGACCGCCAGGCTCCCAAAAACTCAACTATTAGGGCCACCCTCGCCCAAAACTCTTCTGCGTCGTGCTTTGGTCAAAGAGTACTTCCTCATAACTACTTCTTGCTGACTTAAGAGCATTACAGCTCCCTGTGGCATCGCAACAACCTCTCCTCTGACTAGTGAGTACTACCGCTCCCCGTAGCAATCACGACAACCTCTGACTAGTGAGTACTACAGCTCCCCGTAGCATCACAACAATCTCTGACTAGTGAGTACTACGGCTTCCCGTAGCATCACAACAACCTCTGACTAGTGAGTACTACGCCTTCCCGTAGCATCACAACAACCTCTGACTAGTGAGTACTACGGCTTCCTGTAGCATCACAACAACCTCTGACTAGTGAGTACTACGCCTTCCCGTAGCATCACAACAACCTCTGACTAGTGAGTACTACGGCTTCCCGTAGCATCACAGCAACCTCTGACTATTGAGTACTACGGCTTCCCGTAGCATCACAACAACCTCTGACTAGTGAGTACTACGGCTTCCCGTAGCATCACAACAACCTCTGACTAGTGAGTAATACGGCTTCCCGTAGCATCACAACAACCTCTCTCCACTGAAATCCTCATTCTTAAATAATCCCTCCTGATGTCAATGCCCACGGGCTCCCACTGGTACCGCAGATACACAATACGCCACTTGCAGTCTCAACCCAAGACTCAAAACTAATCCGAACTTCAGGTCATCTTACTCGGATATCTTGACAAATTACCACAGAACCTCATGATGTACTGCCTCAACCCCTGATCTCCTTCATCATTCATAGATACACCCACGCATTCCCTTAAAATCTCACAACAAATTTTCCTTTCATCTCACGCCACTATGGAGTATCCCAACTCTCAATTGAAACATGAAGGAATCGTCAATGACCCAGAACATGTTGACGACAATCCGAAACTTCCTTCTATATGGCTCAAAACTCATGCAAGAATACTCATAATGACCTCGAAGTTGTTGCTTAATCAGTTCCTGCCCTTTCCTGAACCGCATAACAGCCCATCTAATGAACCATAATTCTCTCCACTGCCGGACAGATTTTACGAGCCAACCATCTCGAGTTCACCATAGTAATCTCGCAGAATTTCCTAACCACCTCAAGGTCTCCGACCAACGGCTACTTGTCGTGGGGACACTCATCCGTTCTCAACATGCACTACATGCATTATCTCGCTCTACGTCTCGCCTCGACCACCAATACCCATGATCTCATGAACCTGAACCGCAGATCTCTATATCCAGATCTCTAACCGCTTTTGAACAAATCTCAGATCCCCTCAATAAAGTACCCGCTTCTCCCCTACTCAGGGTTCGGACCATCACCAATTGGTGCACTAACAATCTATCTCACAGACAGTTTCCGCCGGAAACATCACACTTACTCTTGGAAGGTACTGTGCGATAATCTCCCCGATGGAGATTAAGCAACTCCAATATCCCGGATTTCTGATGAAATCCTCAGAAACTTCTCATCATGACTGCCACTAATCATTCCGAATCTCATACCAATCCATTACCAGACATCTCGACATTCCACTAAAAATCCTGACTCTTAGTTCGGAAATAATGAATCATCATACTCCTAATCCTCGACTCCCAAACAATCGTTCCATCCCATATGCTACAAACCCTTTACCGCCCTGCTGTAAACTCTGTCTCGCTCTGGCAGCCGAGCAAAATGCTGACCCACATCGGGTACCCTCGCCATATACTATCAGTACTCCCCCACTAGGGTCTCGTATCGTCACCATCTGACACTCGCAGTCTATAACAGCTCCAAACCGGCTCAACCAATCCATGCCCACAATGACACAAACGTCCCTTATCGCAATCGGGACCAGATCTATCGGGAACTCAGTACCGAAGATCTCGAGTACACATCCTCGAATCACCTCAGTAGCATACACCGCTCGCTTATTGGCTAAACGTTAATGACACGAAAGATCAACTCGCACCCGAGTCTAATAACACCAAAGCAGGTATAAAATTCACAAGAAAAGTACCAGCCACAACATTAGGTGTTGTGCGGACCTCCTCCGGTATCATCTGGAAGGCACTCCCTCGTGCCTTCGGTGCCTCGGCCTTCGCTGGCCGACCCTCAGTAGCTCGTGTAGCAGCAGGGGCAGATCCCTGTAACAGCTGCGGACACTCGGCCCTCCGGTGGCCAGTCTGGTTGCAATGAAAGCAAACCATGAATCCCTTGGGGAAATCCTTGGCTATATGCCCCTCCTTGCCACATTTGTAGCAAGCACCTGCTCGACAAACTCCATCATGTCCCGTACCGCACTTCCCACAAGTGCGGCCCTTCTGACCTCCAGATCTCATATCGGCGG